ACTAGGGTCAAAAGGTTAAGTGACTTGCCCAAGGTCACACAGTTCATGTCTGAAATCAGATTTGAACTCAGGAAAACGAGTCTTGCTGACTCCAGGCCTGATGCTCTATCCACTGCATCACCTAGCTGCATGCTTTATAGGCTATCAATGTACTTACTGCCCAAGAAGTAGCCCTCAGAACTAGACATGGTTCTCTAGATATGGTCTGACCAGGACAGAGTATAGTAGGAGGATCATCTCTCTCATTTTAAGTATCAAGCTTCTATTAATTTGACTCCAGATTAACTGTCTTATTAAACAATATCATTGAAATCCTTACCATCCCCATTTCCTACTTTAATTTGTCCTTAGTTTTCAGTATTCTAAATGATTCTGGGACAAAGGTCCTCAGAATTAGATGTGAACAATCATTTGGCTCAAATACTCCCACTGAAGCATTCCACCTTCCTAACAGGACACAAATTAGCCAAATAGGACAACAATCTATGCTCTGAAAATCTCATTTGCATTAAAACCTGCCTTTGAATATGCACATTTTGTCAGCACTCTATATGGCCCCTGGTAATGTTCCTAATTCATTTCAGATAATTAACAAATATGAATGATGCTAATGGCTCGGGATCAGTATCTTTAAAATAAAAGAGAGGATTTTCTCTTTTAACAATGTGAAATTGTTCTGGGTAAGACTATGTATGACCCTCCATTCTAAGGCTGTTTCCCCAAATTCACAGTCTGCTTTAAAACAACAACTTTCTTTTCAGTCTGGCAGTCAAGTGAAAAACATTTGCTCGTGTTCCTGACATCCTAACAAATATCTTTCACTGCTCACTAGGAGCTTATAATATATTGGGAAACCAAGTCAAATCAGGGCAAATACAAACATTTTAGGGAAAAAATGTTCCAAATTACCATAGAGAAATGCAAACTCAAACAACTTTGAGGTTCCACCTCACAACCATCAGATTTGGCAAAGATGACAAAAAAGGAAACATGATTATTGGAAGTGTTTTGAGAAAACAGTGATATACTGTTGATGGAGCTGTGAATTAATCCAGCCAATCTGGAAAGCAATTGGGAATTATGCCCCAAAGTTACTAAACTATGCATACCCTTTGGCCCAGCAATAAACTACTAGGCCGCTACTATATGGATCAGAGTTACACACCATTTATGCAAAAAATATTTGTGGCAGCTCTTTTTATAGCAAAGAACTGGAAACTAAGGGGATGCCTATCAACTGGGAAATGGCTTAAATTACAGTATACAAATGTAATAGTATATTATTGAATAGTAAGAAATGACAAAAGGAATGTTTTCAAAGAAACTCAGGACTTAGTGAGAACTGATAGAGTGAAGTGAGCAGAACCAGAAGAATTTACGCAATGACAACATTGTAAAGATAAACTGCTTTGAAAGACTTTAGAAGTCTGATCAATGTAATTATGAACAATGATTCTAGAAGGTTGATGAAGCACACTACTCACCTCCTGATAGAGATGACAGACTCAAAGTACAGAATGAGACTTTGTAGAAAATATTTGTTTTGTTTGGTTAAGTTTGTAAAAAGAAACAAAAAAACCTAATTCAATTTTTAAAAAATGTTTGAGGGGCAGCTAGGTGGCGCAGTGGACAGAGCACAGGCCCTGAAGTCAGGAGGACCTGAGTTCAAATCCAATCTCAGACCAGATACCCAGATACTTGACACTTACTAGCTGGTATGACCCTGAGCAAGTCACTTAACCCCAACTGCCTTGCAAAAAATAAAGTTTGAGCCCACTCTTGAGATTGTCCATTTGAAGGTGATTCTTTTATTCAGTGGAGCAGCTAGGTGTCGAAGTAGATAGAGCACCAGGCCTGAAGACTCGAGTTCAGATCTGGCCTCAGATATTAGCTGTGACCCTAGGAAAGTCATTTAACCCTGTTTGCCTCAGTTTCCTTATCTATAAAATGAACTGGAGAAGGAAATGGCAAACTACTCCAGTAGCTTAGCCAAGAAAACCCCAAAATGGGGTCACAAAGAGTTTGGCATGTCTGAAACAATTAAACATCAACAACAGCCTTTATTTAGTATTCAACCCTTTATTAAATAATATGTCCAAAATGTTGTGCTAGGTGGCCATAAGGTACAAAGTTAATGACAACATGGTTCCTTTTTTCGCTGAAGGGGAGGAGCAGAATAAATAAATAAATGTGTGTGTGTGTGTGTGTGTGTAACATTATACAATATATAACTAGGAACTAATAAAACATTAAGTTTGTCCAGGGTAAGTTTGTCCAGGGCAATGAATATGTGTTTATAGAATAGGTATTAAGTGAAAAATAATGTGAAGGTTTTTTGGTTTAAGTGATAGGAATAAGAAAAATACAGTCATCAAATGAGAATGTACTAAGCAAACACCTTGAAACCATAAAGCACTACCATGACAATATCAGGGATGATCATTTTTCACAGGAATTTTGAACATTGTTCAGCATAGAACTCTCTGTAGCTGTAGAATTTCTTACATAGTATTCCTTCTATGAAGCATAGAACTTACACTTCTGTTTTCCTAAAAAAAAAAAAGCTTAAATAAAAACTGCTCAAAGCAGTGTTTTAATTATCCATACAACATGGATTCCATTTAAATACCAGCAATATTTTCCCCTAAAATATCAAATATTAAATTATATATCAAATACATATTACATAGAAACAATTTCTGTATGAAAATGGGCTTGAGAGGCAGTGCAGTATAGTGGAAAAAAGCAAAGGTTTTGGAGCTGGCAGAACATGGAAGCATCAAGCTAGTGCTGGAAGTGAGACCAACAGTTCAATTTCCTATTTTTAGAGAAGTGGAAACTAAGGTCCAGGGAGGTTCTGTCAGTTACCCAAGATCACATGGGTTCTAAGTGGCAGAGTGGATATTGGAACCCAGCTCCTTTGCCCCAACCACCTCCTATCTCTGGGCTTCATTACTGATTCTACTAGAGTGCTTACATGTAGTGCGACTTCAGGGGGAAAAAAAAAATCACAATTTTTCTAGACCTCAGTCTCCTCACTTGGAAAATGAAGAGGTTGGACAAGGTGATCTCTAATGTTTCTGTTCCCAAGCCCTCTATTTTTCTTCCATATTTCTATGACCTCCCCACTCCCTTTATCCCATGGGTATGACATACCAGCAGTCAAATTAACACCACTTTTTTTTGTTCTTTCAGTATTCAAGTTCCCAGATGGTTCATTGACAAATTAGTTCAGAAAATGTTGACTTAAATTAATAAAATGAAGTAAAGAAAAATGAAGGTTTTCTCTTGCCACTTTATCATTCAAATGTTTTTGTTAGATTAAAATTTGAGATAGACAAAGTCATCTAATCAAACCCCTTCAAAGGAATTAAGGCCCAGAGTTATGTGCCTTGGTCAAAGTTACACAGAAACTGAAAAGCTGGGCCAATATTTGAACCCATGTAATCTGATTCCAGGGGCAGCTAGGTGGAGAAGTAGATAGAGTCGGGAGGACCTGAGTTCAAATCTGACCTCAGACACTTGATAGCTGCATGATCTTGGACAAGTCACTTAACCCTGTTTGCCTCAGTTTCCCATTTGTAAAAAGAGCTGGAGAAGGAAATGGCAAACCACTCCAGTATCTTTGCCAAGAAAATCCCAAATTGGATCAGGAAGTGGCAGCTAGGTAGCTTAGTGGATAAAGAGTTGGGCCTGGAGTCAGGAAGACCTGAGTTCAAATATGACCTCAGACACTAGCTGTGTGACTCTAGGCAAGTCCCTTAACCTCCTTGGCCTTAATCCACTGGAGAAGGAAATAGCCAACCACTCCAGTATCTTTGCCAAGAAAACCCCATGGACACCAGTGAACAAAAACAAGATCTCTGACTCCAGCACCTACTACACCATGTATTTTAAAAATCTTTATAATACGGAATTACAGACCACTAAGGCTCCATCCCCAATTGGAAAGAAGAAAGGGTACAATGAGGAGTATACTGCATTTACCTCAGTTTTGAACTTTACTTCAGCAAGTGACTAAAAGGAATGTGGGGAGTAGCCATCGAGATTAAAAAAAATGAGTGAAAGGGCATCTGTGGAATCCCCAAACCTAATGTGATATGAAATATGGTCAGAGACCAAAAATCATCCCTAACAAAACACTTTTAGAAAGTGCTGAACTGCTAGATGCCCAATTTTCCTCCACCTTCCAAGGCTTAGCACAGTTGGCACTTAATAAACATTGCTTGTTTTTGTTCTCCCTCTAAAAGAAGTCCTAGAAAAATATTATTTAACCAGTAATAAAATAGTCTACTTCCACGCTCTCATAATTTCCCTCATCATCTCAAAGAATATTAAAATGAAGTATCTTTACATCCCCTGCAACTGAGTTAATGCCATGAGAATCTTGATCTTTGCACGTCCAACACAGTTTATTAAAATATTCAAAAAAGTTTTCTAGAGATTTTTGTATTTCAAGAGAGTTTATCTTCTCGGTGCAAAATTATAAGAGGAGATAAATTAATTTTCAAATCAACCGGATCCCTTACGTTTCAGATTCTTTAACTGTGTCAGAAACCGTTTTTCTGAAACCCTTATTTTAAACACTTAAAAAAAAAACGCTTTAAAAAATTGTGGCCTTATCCGTTGTTTTCTAGTTCCGAGTAAAGGAAGCGCTCTGGAGCAGGTAAGAGGAACGCGCCCCAAGTAGGGCGCTTCAGCCCGGATATGTCGGGGAAGATTATCCCTGGCCCTGGAACGCGTCCGAGTCTAGGTCGACCAGAAGCCCCATGCGCCGGCGAGCCCATCTGCCCGTGCCAATACCACTCGCAACTTTTGAAACCAATCCCTCTGCATCATGCAACGGATGCCTGTGGCACCAGGAGTTTGCAAACGCCCCCCCCCCACCCCCCAATCCTCCTCCCGCTCCCCCGAGACCAATCATTGCATGGCTCAGGGTTAGGCATTCCCCCCCTCCCCTTTCCCCGAGCCGCACGCACGCCACCGAACAGCTCCGAGGTCTCCTGCCCCTACCGCCCCTTAAAGGGAGGTAGCCAGCCCTTAAAGGACCCTCACACCTTGTGCTCAGCATGCCTTTGGCAGCCCCGTTTCGGAGCCGGGGACCCAGAGAGTGAAAAGCCGAGGATCCGGCGAGGTGCCCAGGTGCGGGTCTGGGGTTCACCCCCACCCCCCACCCCCTCCTCCACGGCCTCCCAGCGCCTGAAGCGGCATTTTTATTCAGGCGACGCTTAAGGGAGCCCCGGCTGCGCCCGGTGCATTGTGGGAACGGCCGGGAGTCCCGTTTTCAGGAGGAGGAGGAGGGCGAAAAGCGAACCGGTAAGAGCCTGACTGGGGGGGAGGGGGGGAGAGACACGCCTGGCTTAAAGGGGAATATTCATCAATAAGCCCCGTAGCGCCCTTTGCAAATCCCCCGCTCTGTTGGGCCCCGGACCGGCAGGGAGACGTGCACCGCTGGCCCGCTAGAGCCCAGCTTGGCGCGGGGGCCGGAGTGTGGGGTGGTTGGGGCCGCTTTAAAAAAGAAGCACCGCCCGCTCCGTAGCTGCCGCCTCCGCCGCTGTCGCCACCAGCAGCCGCTCTGAGCTGGGGAAGGAAGGAGGGAGGGAGCGAGCGAGGGAGGGAACAAGGGAGGGGAGGGGTGTGTTGGGGGGGGAGGGTGGCGGCGGCAGCGGTGGCAGCGCACGGGTTAATTTTTTCACCCGCCGACATTTTTGTTTGGCCGCTGCAGCTCGCGGGCCCCCGCGCGCCCGCGTGCGCGCGCCGCTAGGGGAATCCTGCTCGGGCGTCCCGGGGAGCGCGGCGCGCGCGGCTCCCGGGCGCCTCCCGTTCCACCCCCACCCCCCCTCCCGCTCAACACTCCTCCACAACACACGCACTCACTCTCACACAGCCGCTTCCTTTCCTTCCCTTCTGGACGCCCACAAGGGGTTAACTTCGTCCCCCGCGTGACACTTGCTCTTGTTACCTGGCCCCCCCCAAAAAAACGGCCCTTCGCACCCCCTCCCCCCTCACCAAAACCGAGCGATTGGGGGGAGGGGGCCTTCGGGTCGCCCCTGGCCCGCGCTCCTTCTCCATTGGCGGCGGCGGCGGTCGGGGCCCGGGGAGCGCGCAGGGGTGTTCCCGCCGGGGGCGGGGGGGGATGTCCCGGTGGAAAGCGCCGGCTCCCCCCGCCGGCCGCACAAAGAGCGCCGGCCGAGGCCTGATTTGCCTTTAAAGGCAGCGGCTTGGCATTTAAGGTGTCCCCGAGTCGCGTCCCTGCGGCCGCATGGACAGCCGGCCCGCCGCCACCTCGTCCCCGCGTGGTGGGGCCCGCTCCATTGTTTATTTCCCGGAGCTCGCGATAGGTAGGTCGAGGCAGCGGCCGCGGGCTCTGTGCGCAGTCCTCCCTCCCCCCTGGCACTTTTAAAAACACTTAAACGTGCCTGAGGAGGAAGGGGTTAAACTTCGTCGCTACTTATTCATGTCATTGTTTTAAAGTATTGTAAACATCTGGGGGCGGGAGAAGCGAGGGGAGGTGTAGCCTCTTGTTAAACAAATTGACTTTCACCTCCGCCGCCGCAGTAATTGCCCATTTCCCTGACCATTCACGGTCGCTTCCAATAGCTGACCAAAAAATAGGAATTTCCTGTTTTCCCCCGCTCCAGAATTGCTTCTCTGGTGGCTCGTGTTCTCATTCAAGTTTCTATGGGAGAACTCCGGAGGTGGGAGATACTCCTACCCTTACATTCTTAACTTTTTCCTCTTAAATCAAGGGAAGTGACATGTAAATGCTGGTAAATATACACCAGCCGTCAAAACCGGTCTCTCTCCCAGGTCCCCATTCCAGTGCGGTTAGAAGATGTGAGGAATATATCGATTTGTCCGTAGGCTTTTGCTGTGCTTTTTCTACGGAGAGGTTCTTGTCTTTAACTCTTGAGTCAGTCTTTTTTAAAAATTTTCTTGTAAATCACCAAACTTTTTAAAAACAAACACAACAACATTTGACTTTTACTGTAATGGTAGAATGCCACCCCATATTTTTTTCTGACAGGTTGTTTTTTACCCAGTGGTATAGGCCTTGTCTGCAGCCACAAGTTTGAGACTGGAATCATTGCTCATCCCAGACACGTTTTTGTTTTTTGTTTTGTTTTGTTTTGTTTTAACTAAGGCTTGGCTTAGGCGTTATAAGATGTGTTTTCAATAAGTGGTGTGCCTACCAGGGGAGGAAAAACACTTGCTGTAAATGGAAATTATGTTCTTAATCCGAAGTTTTGTAAAGTGACTGTAAACCCTGAGTTGCCTGTGTAATTCCACATCTTATTAAATTTAAAAAAAAATCAACCCTGAAGGTTTGTTAAACCCAACAGCTGAATTTTGATTTTTGCTGTAACTCAAAAGACTTAAAATATAGAAAGGCCCATTGGAGTAGCCTTTGGCATTGGACAGCACATTAAGTGCTGGTGATTAGTTTGATTTAATTGTAAGCCTTGCAATGAAACACTATTAAAGAGTACCTATAATGCTTTGTCAGTGATGCAGCAAAAACCTGTTGTTGGATAGTATATTTGCTGTCTAGGAAATGGGATTTCATTTTTTAAAAACCAGAAAATCTACAGTAGTACAACTATATTGTGCTATGTAAAACAGGCACTCCCATTTGAAAGTTGTGCACTTTAGTGGGACCTCCTATTAGTTTTGGATTATGTTGTATCCCTCTGACTCAGAGTAAAAACATTTTCTTCTAAAATTAGATTTTGGCCTTATAGAGAATTTCATCCAATGAATTTGCATTAATATCTTTTCCGTGGATTTTCTAACAGACCTTGTACTTCTTGAGCATTTGCAGTCTTGTTAAAAGGTTTATCATGAAACAGTTATTTTTTACCAAAAACTTTAAACTTTTAAAATATAGTGCATGCCAGTTGCCAGCTGAAGTGTCATATTGGGGTTTTTTTTTAAAATTTCTAATGTTAGGTGCTTTGAGGATCTTTGAGACCTACTTTTCAGGAAAGAAGTTACATGAAATAAGCCTCCAGTTCCTTTTATATCATCTTTTCTCTGTCTTGACCCTATAATATAATAATGCTTTAGGCATCATATTCTCCTTTAGATGAGCTCTATGGGTTTTATATAGATTGCTAGAGAAAGAGAGAGAATATGTGCAACCTTCCCCCCCTCCCCTTCCACCTCCCCAATCCAAGTAACTTTTAGAGATGTCTTTATTGTTCTGGTTCATAAAACAGTCCATATAAAGAATAGTGGTGTATATTGCTATTATCCACTGACTTTAAATCACTTGCAATGGAAGAGTCTTTTATGGATTGCCCTTGGGGGGAGTTACTTTTCTTTTTCTATTTTGCAGTCTTTTTACTTGAAAGGTATTAGACGATATTCTAATGTTGCCTTTTTGTGACTTGCATATAGGTGGACCAGGCAAGATACCATCAGACTAGAGGAGGGGGGAAAAAAGACTAAACTGTGAGTGTGTGTGCCTAAGAGCCATGTCTGTTCGGGAATCCTTTAACCCAGAAAGTTACGAATTGGACAAGAGTTTCCGGCTAACCCGTTTCACTGAACTGAAGGGCACAGGCTGCAAGGTACCACAAGATGTCCTACAGAAATTGCTGGAATCCTTACAAGAGAATCACTTCCAGGAAGATGAACAGTTTTTGGGAGCAGTTATGCCAAGGCTAGGTATGCAAACCATGTCTTTACCTTAATACTTCAGTAGCATATGTATGGACAAATTGAGCTATAGCTAGGATTTTTTTTTTCTGTCCTCATTCTAACACCTCTACTGTATTCCCTTGTCAGTTGTTTTATCCAAACAAAAATGATCCAAATAGGAACTCACAATTAACTGTGTCAAACAATTATAAGTTGTTCAATGGTAGAAAAAAGTCTTGAATGACACCAAGGGTATTATCTGATAGTTTTGGAGATATAATATGTGACTGGGGCACTCCTGCTATTTTAAGACAGGAGCATCATTCTCTGACAGTGAAACCTTCCATTAAATAGAATTCTCAGGATGCATCTAGGTATTTCAATTTCCTGTTTAAGTATCCAGCAGCCCCTCAACTCGACCCCCCCCCTTTCCTCACCTTGTTTGCTGAGAGTCATACAAGGTCAGTGTTAAAAAGGACCTCAGAGGCCATCTAATTCAAATCCTACAAAATGTATGAATTCACCTTCCTGCCTCAGTAAATTTATTGTTTTGCAGGTAATATTTCTTTGAGGATCCTATAGTTGTGGGGGAAGGGAGGAGGAACAGGAGAAGCTATTCTGAACTGAACATCAGTGGATGTTATAATGTGAGGCAGCCCAGTTCTCTGTATTGATCCTAGGATATTTTGTGTTTCCATTACTAAATTCCTGACATTAACTAGTTATCTTGTGACTTGTCTGTCTTTTCTGAAAACCATGGAAAGAATTTCTTTTCCATCTAGTTAATGCAGGTTTTGCTTCACTAGGATGATAAGCACATGGTACAAGCAGATGGTCAGTTTGAACTCTGGGAGTATGATCTGTTTCCTGAGAATTTCTATAGCTTGTGGTTCCAGTATGAACTTACTTGGTTTGTTACATACTTTGTCTAGTATTATGGGTTTTGGGGGATTTTTTTGGCTTTAATATCTTTAGTATAGTCATTAGACTCAGAACAGGGTGCTTCAGATTAAAAAAATATAAGTTATATCATGAGTCAGAAAAGAGGTAAGAGTAAGATGTTTGTATGGAAACATGAGGACTAGGTCTATCAAGGTGTTAAATAAACTGGTAGAGGAAATAAACCACTTAGTTAAATATAAAGGGTAATAACTAGATGGTGTTATTGTTAATATTTAATTATATTCTTTAACTCCAAGGGGAAAAGTTTTAAGTCCTTTGTTTTGAGTATCAATTTGACATCACTTCATCTAATCCACAACCTCATTTATCTGTTCTGAAACCAAAAAATAACTGTCACAGGAAATGACCTCTGAGTAGGCAAAATAATTGCATCAAAACCTATGCCCTAAATCTCATTTATTTTATTCATAGAAGGTTATAGGTGCTATATAAATGCTTGTTCCCTTTCCCTTGGCCCTTTACTTAGAATCTCTTGACTCTTACTTCACATGCGATTGTAATGTCAGTTGTTTACTTTCCAAACCCACTACCAATTAAAAGTATTGAGAATTTAACAGTCTGATTCTGAGGGAGGTGCAGACAAATTAGGCCTCTAAGAGTTGTTTGACCTCTAAATCTATGAACTATTTGAAGCATTCACAAGAAAGCTAGCTGTCTGGGGCAATTTAGCATACCAGCAAATAGCCTTATATACCTTAGTAGGTCCTGATAGTATCACTGTAGGGTAGTAGTAATTGTAACTCAGAAATAATAGTTTACATTTGTGTATCACTTTAGCTTTTATAAAGTGTTTCATTCGCAACTGAGTGAGGTAAATAGTTCAAGTGTTATTGTCCTGGCTTTACAGAGGAAACTATTGCTTATGGAGTAAAGTAACTTGCCAGTGGTCACAGGGCTTTAAATGAGAGAGCCAGGTCTTGATTCCAAGTCCAGTGTTCTCAGTGACAGTCATCAAGAAGAAGTGTAATTATGTATCCTTTACTCTGCTAATTTGAGAGGACTGAGAAGTGCTATGCATTTTATAAAGATTAACATTCAAAATAGTTAAAATAATATGTAGGTAAGTAACTAGGTAAATCCTCAGTTATCTAGAAGGTTCTGGAGAATTGAAGTTTTCCTATACTACCCTGTACATTGCAGTTAGGATTCAAATGAAAGGGCTGGATATCATGACATCCAAATTTTATTTTGTTCTCTCAGGCTAATTCCTCAAGTCAACCTGGCCAGTGACTTGTCACTAGTTTTCCACATGTAAAATATAATGATATTGGTGAAGGTGGTAATTTATTATATGCTTCTGTGAAGAGTTTTGAGATTAAGACTCAGAGTTACCAGTGAAAATGTAATGTGACTCCCATTTAATTGAGGGAGTGGGTCCATGACTTGCTATGCTTTGTGATTTTTGGAATCTGTTTTTGAAAGTAGTTTGTAAAGTGATTGGGTTTAAAAACAAATGAATAAAACCTGGGGTACAGCTCTCCCTTTGAGATTCTTGTTTTAAGTGTTTTAGAGCAGAGGTAGGCAGATTTACAAATCCTTGACAGGTATTGAACTTAATGGGTAAATGTCTCATGGTTTAAAGAGGTCCACTTCTAAAAGAGTTAATGCAAACAACATAAGCTGCTTGCTCCTTTTTCATCCTTGTCAGGATACTTGGGATTCCTCATATGCTTTGAGATACTCCAGTGATAAATCACATATAATCAAACACTAAAAGACATTCCTATATTAAAAAAGACTCTTAAAAATATGAGACTAAGGAAGCTTCTGGAGCTTGGGCAGTCCATCTAAATACATTATTAACAAATCAAAGCTATAAATCAAAGTATAAATCACATAATATGTTTACATATAAATCATGTATAAAGTTCTTTGATTTATACTTGAAAACTAATAAATTCGACAGTTACTCTTTAGTAGCTCTTTCTGTAGGCTTTCACCTACAGTTCCATCCAGAGCTGAGTTGAAGGAAATGAGGATGTCTAATCTACCAAAAGGAAGACTGAGGGATGGAAATATTATCTGTCTTCAAATATTTGAAGAATTATCATCTAGGAGAGCTATTAAACTTCTGTTTGGCCTCTGCTGAGGGAACTTCTAGAACCAATGGGTAGAAGTTGCTGAGAGGCAGTTGGGCTTAATCTCAAGGAAAACTAAACACTTTGATTCTCACAACAACCCAGTGAGCCAGTTAGTAGAGATTTTGTTTTGCTTTCTTTTTGAACCTTTTATTTTTATCTGAATAATCAGTGTAGGGAGCTTTGAGTGAGGAACTTCTACCAATCCTCTGACATTTATGGTTTTAGACAGTTGCTTGGAGCATTGAGTGATTAAGAGAGCACATCTTCACACATCCAATGTTTGGCTGAGGTAGATTTGAACTGGGTTTTTCAGACTCTGAGGTCGACTTTCTAGACACTTGGACATGCTGCCTCACACTGTAGTTTTTATTATCTTCATATGATGCCTGAGAAAATTGAGACTATTGTAATGGTTTCAGATTTGCTTGGGCTGCCTCAGATAGTGAGTTCCTGGCCTTTAGAAGTTTTCAAGTAGAGACTCAGATGACCCCTTGTTAGGAATATAATAAGGGGGATTTCATGTTTTGAATAGGAGTTGGACCTTTGAGACTTTTCTTAACTCTAAGATTCTATGAATTTATGAAGTGAAAATTCAAGGGGGGGGAGAAGTACATTTTACTTTTCTAAAGCAGATAGGAATTTGTCTCCAAAATTGTCTGTCTGTTCAATTAGGGAGCATTCAAATGAGATAGGGATTATAGATACTATTCAGAAGATGTGGCTCCTGAGTCCTCCTGACATTTATACTGACATAGGCACTGAGAACACTTACTGTTAAGATCTTAGCTAACATTTATATAGCTTTTTAAAGTTTGCAAAACTTAGATCATAGATATATCTATATCTATATCTATACATCATATAACTCTATAAGATCATAGATCTCCATGGATGTTATCTCCATTTTACAGATAAGAAACTAAGGCCTAAAGAGGCATATGTCAGAGGCAAGATTCAAACCCAGGTCTTTCTGACTTTCTGGCCAGTGCTGTGGCTAATATGCCACTATATATAGTTTCTTTTGAAATTTTGGGAGCATGCTATCGGATTGATTCCTTGAATTATTACAAGCATCTTTGTCTGAATACAATCAAAAACTGATTACTTGTGAAGTGATCTAGTCTATGGAGTGGGTTACCCTACTATTTCTGAAACAAAAATCTCAGTTGCACTACTGAGTCATGCCCTAACTTTTCTGCTTTGCTGAATAAGAAAGACTGTTTCCATGAGATATATGGTTCTTGCTAGCCTTGTTTCTATTTTGGATTTGTAGTGATGGAAAAAGAAGTGAAAAATTATCTGCATAAGGAACTAGTACTAGGATTAATTTCTATTTTTAAAAATATATATTTTACATTATATACAAATCATATAAGTGTGTATATATGTATGTGTGTATATTATATATGTATGTATGTATTAATGTATAAAGTTCAGTTATTTATAGCATTACTCAAATACTGATTCAAATAGATGAATAAAATTATCATTTTTGTGCAAACTTTTAAGTTTATAGATGGCCTGTTTATCTCTTTCTTTGGCCTCCTCAAGTCCTGTATTTTAAATATAAATTATATTGTGGGAATGTTTTAAGTGTTTGATTAGGGATTGATTTATCTTTGTTAAGTTTAGAATCCTAATTTTGGAAGATTTTTTAAAATTGAAGGTTTCTTTTAAATCTCATTATAACTTTGTATGCCTTTACTTGTTTGACTTCATTATGTAAGTATTACTTAGGAGGATGTAGGAACTAGAATGTGCATATGCTTATGCTAAGAACTATCCTGTTAAAAATATGTATTACAACCCTTCTTATCAGAATTAAGTAGAGAAAAGGCCAATTAGAATTTGTAAAAGAGCTAAATTTAAAAAAAAGAAATGTAGTTATATTAACTTAAAAATACCTATAGTAGCCATCTGAACTTAATTTGAAAATAAAAAACACACATATATAGCATTTGATACATGTGACAGAAATGTTCCTATGACATTCTGGCAGGTAGATATCCCCATTTTATAGATGGGAAAAGTTAAGTTCAGAAAAATTACCCACAATTATCTTTCTGGTAAGTAGGCTAGAGGCAACTGTCACACTTTTGGACTCCAAATCCATTGCTGTTTTCACTGAATCATATTACTTCATGAATTGGTAAGAATTATTTAGAGTTGATATCAACTGTATTTTAATACATACCTCTAAATATTAAGAAACAGTTGACTTTCAATCCCCTGGTAGTTAACAGCTTTGTGACTAGCTTCAGTTTCCTCATCTGTAAAGTAAGGATAAAAATACCTATAGTATCTGTATCTCAGAGTTTTTATGACGATCAAATGAGATGGGTTTTTTTTGTTTTATTTTTGTTTGTTTTTAGGCAATTGGGGTTAAGTGACTTGCCCAGGGTCACACAGCTAGTAAGTGACAGGTGTTTGGTCTGAGGCCAGATTTGAACTCAGGTCCTCCTGACTTCAGGGCCAGTGCTCTATCCACTGCGCCACCTAGCTGCCCCCAAATGAGATGTTTGTAAATCAATTTTTATACTTCAAGGCTGTAGACCTTAAGAAATAAACTCCTCATTTAGCTTTTAAAGCCCTACACTATCTGGCTTCAACTTATCTTTGAAACTCTGAGAATCTGCCAAAGTGGTTCTCTCTCTCTCTCTGTTCCTCACTTGTCCTGGGCACTCTTTATTTTCCATTCTCCATGTATGTACAAAGGGTGTCTCTCATGCCTAGAATGAGTCCACCTCATAGAGACCCCCTCTTACTTGAAGATACAGTTCAGGCACCAACTTTTGCCCAGAGTCTTTTCTGATACCCCTCCTTCAAATTGCTAGTGCCCTCTCTCATAGTACCTTATATTTAATTACTTTGTAATTCCAGTTATCCCTTCCACACCTTGGGGGTTGGGGTAAGGTGCCCCCACAATCTGGACAATCTGTGTAAAATTTTTTGGCCCTCCCGTCATACCAGAGAAGAAATCTGATTTTTTTTTCTTTTTCTTTTATGGGGTGTTTACACTACCATATTGTAAAATTTGGGCTAAGTATTTAGTCTTAGGCTCTGTGTTGTCTGCTGGCCTTTGTGTGTCATCTGCAGCTTCTGTAAAACTCCTCAAAAATGCCCATTTAATTTCTTATGCCTATGCACAGTATATCGAACCCATGATGGGGAAAATCTAGTTGTGAAAGGGATAACTGTAATTACTTTGGAGGTGGGTTTGTGTGTGTGTGTGTGTGTGTGTGTGTGTGTGTGTGTGTGTGTGTGT